TTATTTTGAATTATTTCATTTCTATCAAACTCGATTTTTGCCTTTTCTCTCGTGTGTTGTGTTGGACAAACATTTATTTATTTAAAAGTGAACGGTTGAACACTGACGACCTGTAACTGATGCAGCTTAACTCATTCGTTCTTGTGGAAGGAATCTCAGAGGTCGATCTCACGGGTCTGATTGGGGAATTATTGTAATGAAAAACAACTTCATTGCAAAATGTGAGCGAGACGAAGTCAGCGGGAGGCACCAGCGGCTTCCAACCGCTCTGAGAGGAATCAGCAGAGGAAACATTAACTTACAGATCTCTGGTGTTACCATGAGAACGCTGCATCGTTGTTGGTTCATTATGAAACTGTGGCGGGACACATTAGAAAATGTCTGGCTGCCGCCGTGTGGAGAGTTAATGAGACACTCTGACAATACGTCTCCTGTCAAGCATCATAAGACGATATAAAAACATTATTCTTCCCAAAGCTCGAGCTCGTTCGAAGAGTCCTTTCTTTTCTTCCTCTCTGGAGGCGACTCGTTCGCCTACTCTAATGTTTCTCTGTTCTGTGTTTCAGTTTCGCACATTCGACCCGTGTAAACAACTGTGGTGCAGCCACCCGGACAACCCGTACTTCTGCAAAACCAAGAAGGGGCCCCCTCTTGATGGGACGGAGTGCGCCCCCGGGAAAGTGAGTTTGTCTGTTTTAAGTTCGATGCCACGTGGACAAAAGTATGTGGACACCCCCCAAAAACAACAGTCCCCCAGGGGCGCGTGGAGTGGATCGAAGTATCGATGAAGCAGAATAAGATCATCTTTAGTAATTAATGCTGAGAATCTGATTCAATAACCCAGTGTGACATGAGGCAGCATCGATATAAAACCACGTGTCGTGACGCTGAAGGAGAAAGCTTCTCTTTCGCCCGGCTGCAGGGGTTCGCTCCGGCTCAGCCACGAGCTGCGTCAGTGATGTCCGACACCGAGGCTCTGAGGCCGGGTGAAAAGGTCTGGCTCACAGTCAGAGTTCAGATTCATCCCAGAGGTGTTGGACGGGGCTGAGGTCAGAGCTCTGCGGGCCGCTCAACTTTTCCACACCACACTGGAGAAAAAACGATTTCTTCACGGGCCTGGAATGGGCCTTCCCCAAACTGTTGACACAAAGTTGGACGCACACTATTGTCTAAAATAACATTGTATTATGTAAAATTCAAAATTCCCTTCACTGGAAATGAGGCACATTGCCCAAGACTTAAATAACAGTCTCACCAGAAGTACATAGACAGTCTTTTCCACATTCTTTTGGCCATGTAGTCTCTTCACATTTGTTCCCAGTATTATCATCGGCTGGATCCAGAAAGGAGGCTTTTGTGTTTGGCTCACCTTTCTTCCTCCTCCGACTGTGTCGTCCTCTGCAGTGGTGCTACAAAGGTCACTGCATGTGGAAAAACCCAAATCAGGTCAAGCAAGACGGGGCCTGGGGCTCCTGGAGCAAATACGGCTCCTGCTCGCGCTCCTGCGGCACCGGCGTTCGCTTCCGGACACGTCTCTGCAACAACCCAGCGTAAGTGACACGAACACCAGTTCAATTCTATATTCATTTTTCTAACTGTACACAAGCTTGAATGATTCCTGCAGTATTTCAGCGTAGGCTGTGATGAAAACACAAAACACACACACACACTGAAAAAGTTTTTGTTCTGACAAACAAAGTCATTCTTGTTCCGTGTCAAACCGCTGGCACCTACATTACCCATAATCCCGTGCCAGCAGCGTGGCTGGAGATCTGGGTGAGACTGTTGTGGCCTCGAGCAGAGTCGAGCAGCAGCTTCGGATCTCTTTTAAGCTCCTGTCTCTAACTCCACACCCCCAGATTGTCTCGCTCCAGACACAACCCATGAGACGTCTCTCAGTTTATTAGACTCCACACGACTCCCTCATGAGTCACCCAAAGTGTTTTACAACGTATTCTCCATAATTCTGCAGAAAAACCTGTTAACAGGCTTAAATGTGTGAAATTGGTGAAGTTGTCTTTTAAAGCCGCTCTCTTTGTATAAAAGGGGGAAGTGAACTTCCTGTGAGGCTTTAAGAACGCTCAGGATACTGATGGACTTTTTTAAAAACTTCTCCAAAAGCTTTTCCCGTCAGCGACCTCGTAAAAACTCAGGTGGGCGTGTTTAAGACATTTCCAACACACGACGGAGGCACAACTGGAAAAAAAAAAGACAAATCTAATCCAATGAGTGATGTTTAATTATCTTTAATCTTCTGTAAACGATACCATCATTCACAGACAACCTTCAAGGCTCCACACAAACAAGAGCCCCTCGGTGCTTCAGAATCCTCCTCTGAGCAGGATTTGTTTTCCTGTCCTTGGTTTCAAAGACACATTCACTGTCTGATCAGCTCCTCTGACGTTGGTCCGTCTCCCCTCCCCCCCTCCCCCCACAGGCCGTCCAACGGCGGCCAGGACTGCCCTGGAGTGAACTACGAGTACCAGCTGTGCAACATCGACGACTGCCCCAAGCACTTCGAAGATTTCCGAGCCCAGCAGTGCCAGCTCCGCAATTCCCACTTTGAGTTCCAGAACGTCAAACACCACTGGCTGCCCTACGAACATCCCGACAGTAAGAACAACGTCGGCAGAGCGTTCGTTGCATCATGTGGCTGGTTGTTGTCTTTTTGTTTTTTGTACCAAACAAGAGCAATGAAAACTGGATTCTCAGAGTTGATGAGTTTCTACTTTCTCACTTTCCACCCACGTTTATTCTCAGCTGGTTTTTTTCTTTTGTGTTTCTAGTCCTTCAATTATTCTCCTTTTGCTCAGTTCTCTCCTTTTTTCCATCTTCATCTTTGTGCCAGTTTGAAGTTTAAAGCCATAAATGAGCTCTTTTGATAAAGGTGACGGATCACTCCTGTGCAGATGCTGAGCCCGTATCCCATTTCAAACTCTGCTCTTTATCAGACATCGCTTTCATCTGGCCTCGCTCCACGGAGCTGTTTGCCACTTATTGCTGCTAAGTTGGTCTGGGTTTTGAAAGTCACTCATGTGGAAAAAAAAAAAAAAAAGAATAAGCATTCCTGCTGAGAAACTTCAGGGGGACACGACAGTAATGTGGGAACCGCTGGTCTGTGGGTTCAGAGGATTTATTCACGGGTGTTTGTGCAGAAGAATCATGAATATTTGTGATTATAGTTCAGGTAAAGCAGGTTTAGTGAATGAGTTTGTATTTTTCATTTGAATCTTTCTCTCGTTCATTTTAACAGTTAAAGTTAAGAGGGACAATGTCAGTGGGAGGAAAACTCTAATAAAGCTTTTTATTATATTCACTCTTTGAGTCAGGGTAGAAAAAGCTGCATGTGTGGTGCCTCTTCTTACTTCTCTGTCTTTGCCGTGCACCGCTGTGTTTAATGACTTTAAATGTTTTTACAGTCGTTTTAAAACAATCGATCATCACGCCCTTTAATTTCTGCGTCGCTCGACAGCAGAGCTCAAGGCTGCTTGTTACTGAGCTGCAACGAACGTGTTTTGCTTTGATTTATTACAATAATCCAATATTCTGTCCTGTAGCCAACAAGAGGTGCCACTTGTACTGTCAGTCCAAGGAAACCGGAGACGTGGCGTACATGAAGCAGCTGGTGCATGATGGGACACGGTGCTCCTATAAGGATGCCTACAGTATTTGTGTGCGTGGAGAATGTGTGGTAAGTGTTTCATTTAAAACGTTTCTTACCACGTTGCCAGCTGCATTTGGATAACTCTGCATGTCAGTGTCCACGGGCTGTTTCTGATTTTTAAAAACTTTGAAGGACTTTATTAAATTACACGGGGCGATGTTGTCGAGCTGCAGGGTCAGCACCGGGCTCTCCGCTTTGAACACGCTGTGATTAGATCCACGGCGCCCGCTCGCTGCTGTTTAAGGAGCAGGATTCTCATGAAGCAGCAGCTTTATTAAAACGTTACTGACAGTGCGTCCTGAAACATCCCCCCCCCCCCGACAGCAGAAAATAATGAGAGTCAGCGCAGAGCGACATACAGCGGTGCTGCAGGAGTCTGGATCCGATGAAGAGGCACACAGAGTTGAAATTATAATATATTTCAAAACATTTGTCGAGGAGGAATGAGGAGACTCTTTTCCATTTATCGATTTATTCACAAATCAGATGTCTCAAAGGACAAAGCTGCGTAAAAGCACCACGGTTAAAAAGTTTTTATTACACAGATCAGTAGAAATAAGACTTTTTTTAAATGTCAGTACATCAGGATGTAGAGTGGTGATATGTTTTATACTTAAGTCTGATGGACACTGGAGGACGTCTTATCAAATGATCCTGTAGTGACACATAATCTTCACACATTGAATCTGAGCCTCCACAATTTAGAATATCAAACATGATATTTACAATTCCACGACACTGAAGACGGCATGAATGAATAAAACTGTTGTCTCCGGTTGCCCGGGGGGGGACACACTTGTCAAATAACAGGATGAGAGACGACGCTGGCTCCATTACTTTATATGGTTTTCCATCCGAACGCCTCGAGGGAATTTCTTTAAATGTTCGCTTGGACTCGTGGATTAACTGATTAGATTTCAGTGATCGAAGGTGGATAGAACACTTTCATTGTGAGATCCTTCTGTCCAACAAACTCACACGTCTCACACGGAGAGACTCCCGATGTGACTGAAGGAGAAAACACGACTCCCGTGTCCAAATGTCACCTTGAGTCTAAACCTCCTCAGGCCGCCCGCCATCACTCGGAGCGTCAGAAGGTCGGGTCATCTCTCGTCTCTCTTCTTGTTTCCGTCCTGCAGAAAGTTGGCTGCGACAGAGAAATTGGCTCAACCAAGGTTGAAGACAAATGTGGGGTTTGCGGTGGAGACAACTCCCACTGCCGCACCGTGAAAGGAACCTTCACCAGGACGCCAAAGAAAGCCGGTAAGAATCCACTGAATCCACCACGACCACAGTTTCCACTCACAGAGGGAATTTATTCAAACCTGCATCTTTTTAAAAACTCTATGAGTGAGTGATAAACCTGAACTACACGTAGTGAAGGACAGTGAGCATTAGGGCAGATTGTCTTCAGTCACATTATCTCTTCTTTCAGGACATTGCTTTTTCCAGCGTCTCCCTTAAGTTTTGCACAAAACAGTGTTTGAATGGTTCTCACACGTTTTAAAACTATGAGCCTGAGAAATTTTAATTCCTCTATTTTCCTGCGTAACCTCTCGCTCTTCATCTCAGGAGGATAGAAGATATAAATGTAAATATCTTTTGATTTGAAAGCTTCCAGTTGGAGGAAACGTGGAGCCTCCGCAGCGTTGGTGAAAGCATGTGATCCTTAAAGCTCTGATTAAAACAGCAAAGTGGCTTAAAACAGATCTTGATAAGCAGAAAGATTCAACCCATGATCATTCAAATACACGTTAATATTTAACTTTGGCCTCCTCCTGGCTCTTATTTGATTTATCTCTACAGCTGAAATCTAACCCACCCAACAACATCTGGTTTCTGAAAATGAAAATTAATAATGATTCTCGTAAACAACACCAGGGCCGAGAGCGCAGCGTGAATCCCGACGACTGAAAACGAGCTTTATTTGTCTAAAATTGCCAAAAGATGATGATGATCATCCGTCTGCCTTTGCAGGATGCAGGAGGTGGATGCAACAAAGACCTTTTTATGATTTGGTTTAATAGAAAACTTGAGTAAAGAGTGAATATTAACATGAATGCCGCAGCGGTAATAAGGTGTGTGAGCTCTGCGGCTGCAGACGCTAAAGCCAGAATACACCACAAGGCTGCATATGATTTCATGCCTTTGTACCATTTTCTCCGTGCTCTCATTCTAGACTGCAAACGTATTCCAAGCAGGTTCTGAGTTTGAGATTTATCTTTGATTATGGAAATATGAGATCGGCAGATAAATACCCTGAAGCCGTTTAGCACTGAGGAGATTTCTGAGTTTTTTTCTCTCTTGTGTGGATGCAGTTAGGATCGAACCGTGTACTTATACTGTATATTAGTATTTTGGGTGTTTGTGTGTCACAGGGACACAAATATAAGTAAATACACTCACACTCTTAGTCGGTCACGCCATTGTAGGATTTCAGTGCTGAGGTTAAAAACGTACTTGTGTTCGTCGTAGAGCTCATTGTCGTAGAGCTCACACACACACACACACACACACACACACACACACACAGTCTGCCAATGCACATTCACTAAGCTCTGCAGAGAAGCGTCTTTCTTTACCTGGTGAATCTTCCGTTAGAATATCAATCTGCCATCTTCCAAAAGCAACGAGAGGCCGTTTCTTTCACCCGAAACATTCCTGAGATCTGTTTGAGTTTCACCAACACATTTTTATAACTGTAATTAAAATTGGAAAAGGGTTGACGGCTTATTTAATTCACGTAAACGTGCAGCTGTGGCCGCACTGACTCGCATCAGATCTTCCAGGTGTTAATGAAACTGCGGATCTGAGTCGTTTCTGTTCGCTCACAGACGATGAATGAGTCTGCGGGCTGGGTGCTCGGAGACCTGGAGGAGTGTCAGACGCCCGTCACTCGAGGCTGTCGCATTTATTTAGATGAATCCCTTTCCTAATTAGAAGAGAACTAATTGAGATAAACTTTTTTATTTATTTATTAACGTACTTTGTTGTTTTAATCGAATGCCAGTGGTGCATTAACTATTTGTGCTACTGACCCTTTATCCAAACTTCTTTAATTAAAGCCGCCTCTCTCAGGGTATCTCACACATGCACACACACACGTGCACTTTAAATTGATCCAAACTCTTTCCTCTGAAAAAACTCTTTTTTCACGACACCTTCTAGAACCTGCTCCTGATGCTCGCCTCATCTGTCGCGAATAATTTATCATCCGCTTTTTACTTAAGGAGGAAATGGTGTCAAAGAGTCAATGGAGGGTTTCTGAGAAATATGCAAATGAAATTTCTGAAAGCGTAGACACGACTGCTTCATCAAACCGTCATCAGGATGTACTCTGCTGAACCTGTGATCCTTTCATCTCACTCTCATTTAACCACCCACCTTTTTTTAACAGGGAAACAGTTAAGCAAGAGAGCCCAAAAAGAAACCCCTTTGTTGGAAAACACAATATGCAAGTATCCAGTGTCACTGAATCCCTTTCTGTGCAGCTTGTAGTGCAGCTGGATGCCTAACGCTGTAGACACGTAGAGAAATGAGTGATACAAGCTGACGTTTCCTCTGTTCCTTGTTACTAATTAAGTCTGTTTGGGTCTGAATCAGCTGTAGCGACTGTCACAGGCTCATTGTACAGTCACGTCTCCCAGGAGTCATGTGAATGTGTCTCTTGAGCTTCAGCAGCCTAACAAACTAACTTTAAAGTCCTTCCTCAGATCTGAGAGTCGCGTTAAACAATCCCGCAGACGTTCGGAGGCAATCTAGGAAGTTGTTGACCATCCAGCAGCAGATTGATTGAACCTGGGCGCCTTCGCTCGATGGGTCCTTTTAGACTTCAAACTTGCGAGCAGCTTTTTCTGTCAGGCTGCAAAAAAAAAAGAAACTCAAATTGCAACAACACTGGAGCGCCTGGCGTTTCTGAAAAGGCCTCATCAGAGCACATTGTCCCAGAAGTGAGAGGGCGTGTGTAATAAACTGTAGAGGCCACCTGCTGCAGCCTCGCGCGGACCCTTTGACAGTGTGCTGGGTGAATTCACGACCAGCGTCAGGAGACCCAGAGCGTTGATTCTTCATTCGAGTGCTCTCTGCCAGCAAAGAATAGTTTGCCTCCCTCCTCCTCCTCCGCCAGTGGGACTTCCTGCAGCCCCTGCTTCACTAATGAAATGTGCCTCCATCTTAGGTGACAGTTTTACAGGGGAAAAGAGAGAGAGTGAAATGGAGACGAGCGGAGCGACGGCCTGTGTGACTAACTGACTCATTTTATTTTGAAGGGAAGACCAGAGGAGCGTTCTCTTTGCCCAAAGGAGCACGAAATGTGTTTTTAAATGAAACTGAAGACTCTAGAAATGTGCTGGGTGAGTCACAAGAGGTTTGTAAGTGGTGGACATCCGTGACAGAAGGCGACTCTGCTGCCCCTGTAGTCTCAACCCCCGTTGCTCATGACCTGTTGAAACACGGCTGAAGGTTCTCGCCACGTTTGCGACACGGCAGATGGATAAAAAAAAAAAAAAAAAAAAAACCTCTCACGCCTGTTTCAATAAAAGCTTTTTCTACGGAGAGAGAGAAGGTCCATGCAGCATCTCCTGCTTCCCTCAAACTTCTTCAAACATCTCTGTAGAGCAAAGTGAACGCAGCTTCTGAAAGACGCGCGATGTCCACCTCTGCAAACACACAGTTTGTTTGTGTACCTGCTGAACTTACCTGTCTCTGTCTTATCTTTCCTAACCTCCCTTCTGCTTCTGCTGCTGCCGCTACAACACTTGGCAAAGGCTACCTTAAGATGTTTCTCATTCCTCCTGGAGCTAGACATGTGATCATCCAAGAACATGAGGCCTCCCCTCAAATTCTTGGTAAGTGTGACCTCGTAACACAAACACGTGATTAAACCAGAGGATCCCTGAAAAGATCTCCTCCTCTCGTCTCGATTCATATGATGAAAGTAATAAATGAAATACAGTTTCTTCACATTCAAGGTTAGGTTCACGAAAAACAGAGCGAACAGAAACGGGATTTATTGATTTTACGTCTGTAAAGCTTTCACTCAAAACCTGCGCTCGCGCTCAAATATGCCGGCTTGTCCTCAGATCTCCCTCAGCTCGTCTCCTCTCGGAGCGCTGGAGATCCAAGTACAAGCTGGTTATATCTGAGTGTGAGCGAGGGCTTTGAGTGAGACATCACAAAACCTGAAATCAAGTCCGGCTCAAAAAGAAGAAACTGATAGACAGTTGGTAATAAGTCGATTATATCAAATAAATGTCCCAGTGTCTGTCTTCATATCTTTAAATCGCTCTTTTGATCCCAAGAGATTCACTTCGTCTTTATATTCTATCATAGAAGCAGAATATTATATTATATCATATTATATCTGAGTTTATAAATAAAATGTTTGACCACTGGCAAATGACTCAAGCAGGTAATTAAGTCTTTCTTCAATCAGTGATCCGGCTGAATTGTTGAAATGAATTGGTTTATAATGATTTATAGAAGGTGCCACACAAAATTATGTTTTCTGATAAAGAGGTAGAATTAGGTAAAAATAAAAAGTCTGTTTGTGTCCGATACAACAACTGATGAGAATTAATCTATTCAGGTTTTTAATGAACCATTAACTTGACGTACTTTCACAGGACGTCAGCCGAAATAAAAAGCACAAACAAGAAAGTTCCGAAAAACACACGAGAGAAACGGACAGAAAACGTTTGTTGTGTGTCGACAAAGAGTGGAACACAGGATCTCTGCTTTTATTTATTCAGCGTCCACGAGGTGGAGCGGGTCAGCATCGATCTCAGCATGTTGTTCAAACTGGAAAATATAAAATGTGAAAGAAAAACACACACGCAGCGGCTGTGAAAAGCTGAAACCATCAGTATTTCAGTCTGAGAACTCCTCGACCGTGAGGCGCTCTCAGGATTAGATGGACCCGAGCTGGTGGAATACTTCATTTTGTGATAAAGCGACGATGATAAAGTCTGAAGATCCAAAAAATGATTTCTGTTTCAGCTCAGTTGCTTCATCTGACCTCAAGATTTCAGTGAATTTAAAACTCAGGAAAAGTCAAAAATAAAAGACATTCACTTTATTTCTGTCTTTTTTCTATTTGTTGCCTCGTTAATGAACGTCAGTATAAAATGACAAAGATGCTGGAGTTGGCGGGAATGCAAATTCACATCTGTCGGTTAAAGAAATACAATCAAACCTGAGAGCGTCTTCTCCCCTATAGCAGAGTACTAATAGGTGGAGATAGATCGATGTGGCACGACGCACATTAAGTTTAATGAGCCTCTCCGTTCCATCTTCATGTACATTATGCATAAATCAATCATAGGTTCGCTGAGGTGCTTTCAAAGCCTCGTTCCGAGGTGTGAACCTCCACTGATTGCTGAAGAGAGGTCATCACCAAGTGGCTATAGGGGGTTCCGATAAAGTTGAAAAGCACAAGCAGCTATAATCAGTCAGAGACTCAATCACAGACGACGACCTGAGGATTTCTAGGAGCTGACCTTTGAGTCGGAAAAAATAAAAAAAGCAAAAAGAACAAACCGTATATTTTCAGGACGTCGTTTATCTGTGCAGCTCAAACCCAGTGGAGGATTAATTAGCTATGATGTGACCTCACTGAGGTTTGGTTGAGGGATTAAATTCTGAGCAACTGACTCAGACGTCTGCGTTCTCACATAACATCTCAGGGAAATGTCCGGACTTCAGTGCACGTCTGAAATCAGCTTTAATGTCTCCATTAGCAAGACGTTACTGATTGTCCAACGGCCCCTGAGGGAATAACCCTGCAGTTTCCATCCAGCTGTAATGGCCTGTGATGTAAAACTGAGTGAGAGGGTCAGTGTGAAAGTGAGCGACTCAGACAAACCTCAGCACATCTACGATAGTTATTCCAATTATCGTGATCACACCCTGCGGCTCAGAGAGCGTGGAACCTCCCCCCTGCAGAGAGGAGGAGAGCGAGGTGACAGAACTCAGTTAATAGCTTCTGTAAACATCTCATCTTCACATCTGCCTTTTCATTAAGCGTCTCCCCTCGAGAACTCTTCGGCAGCTCACGCTTTGAGAAGAAGCTTCGACTCGTAGCTCCAGACGTTTCCCTGCTGTAGTTTCAGTCACTGTCGTCTGTCTGACATGTTGCCGATGGATCACAGTGAAGACGATTCTCTCACGATTGTTTCCATCGTTAGTTTGCTGCTCTTAGTTCTGCTTTTCTCTCAATGTTTTATTCAGCTCAGTAAACGCTCTGAGATATATATATATATATATAAATATATATATATATAAAAGCTGTAGTCAGAGCTCAGGTGTTAAATTAAAGGATCTTTGAAAATGTCCTTCATTAGATGAACTCGTCTTCTGGCAGGTTTGTTTCCTCTGTTTATTCAAGAGCGGGATCTTTGAGTTTAGAGAGCAGGACTTTCTGTTGGTTGAGGAAATTCATTCGTTCATTCTGTTGGAAATTCCTCAACCAACAGAAAGTCAAGTGTCGTCTTGACAGAAGTACAACCTAAGCTCGGGCAGCGGCTGTTTGAGAGCGAGCTCTGCAAAATCTGAACGTTGAATCAGTATTTCCTGCTCTTGAACTGAAAGACACGCTCCTGAATAACGAGAGGACAAAAAGACATTTGTCCTCTGATGTTCCACATTAACAACAACAACGTCGTCACTAGTGATGGGACCAGATTCAGGATAAATACCTGTGACCTTGATGTTGAACCAAAGAGTAAGTGGACGTGGAAATGATTAAAAAAACCATTTTGATTGAATTTCCAAAGTTAATTAGTTAATTAATTCAGTTAATTAAATTTTGTAGATGAATGATGTAATCAAACCACTGATTCCTGGTTCTTCACTTTCTCTGCCGCCGCTCAGCATCATGCAGAGTTATTATGAATCAGCTTCTTTTAATCTTTACTCCTTTTCCCCATTAGATGCATTTTTGTTTTTCAAATCTCAACGAGACACTTTACATTTTCATTTCACGTCTTTCCTCTCAGCCTCTCACCTCCGAGTGGCTGGAAGACAAAAACTGAGCAGTTAAAGTTAATCAACCAGTGTTTTGCCAGCGTGAATCAGTTTGAATTGTCCGAGCGGCAGAGAGACTTCTGTGAGTCATTCTCCACAAAGTCTTTCTGCTCTCGGCGAATTCTACAGAACGCTGGTCATTTATGGAGAAAAGACATTTACACTTGTGTCACGTGACGAATGACTGATTACAGCCGTCAAGAACCAGGCGACGGGACATTACATCCTCAACGGAAAAGGAGAGGAGGTCAAGTCCCGGAGCTTCATTGACTTGGGAGTGGAGTGGCATTACATCATCGAGGAGGACGTGGAGACTCTGCACACCGACGGACCTCTGCACGACCCCGTGGTGGTTCTGGTAATGCACGACTCCTTCTCTAGAGCAAAACTGCTGTTTGCATTATGTCAAAATGATATTTGTTTGACGATGAGCACCTCAGCTCACACTTCCACCTGAGGCCCAGAAGTCAAAACCAACTTAGTGTGGATCAGTGTTTGTGAGAAGATTGAAATAAAAATGTCGTTAAGGGGTTTAACAGACTTTAACAACCGCCGCTCCGCGCCCGAAGTGCTCGGGGAAGATAATGGACCTTAAACTGCAGCTGACGGGCGGCAGAGTGATGTGTGATAGAGAAAGTGCGTTAATGTGAGAGCGAGAAGTCATCGTCACGACTAGGAAGGATCTTTATATAAACACGGACCCTCAGGACCGTTCACCTGAGAGCGAAGCTGAAACCCTGACTGAGCGGGACAGTGGAACACGTGAGCTATAAAATCTTTAAATCAAACCCAGAGCTGACAGGAAGCCGGTGACGTGTGTCGAGGAGACGGAGCTTCACAGCCGCTTGAAGTTTCTGATCTCAGTCACGTGTGTGTTACACGTCTTCATTTAATCACAGCTCTGTGTTCTGATTGGCTGCCGAGACGAGACACGACATCGTTAAGATTGTTGTATGTGTCGAGGAGGACTTGTTTTTTTAGTTCGTCTCAGTGTCTCCTGTCTCATCGCGACGTCCCATGAAGAGATATAAGACTCTGTGGGAGCCAGACTCCTTGTTGGAGTCCTGTCTCTGCACGGAGCTGAGGACTGTGTCTGTGAGCAAACGAGAGCAGATGTTCGACGCTCCTGTTATCTACTTTTTAAAACTGTTCAAACTCAGAGATACTCGTTTAAACGTGGAGACGTTTCAACCAGCGATTATTTGAGACTTTCTGCTTGAAAAACCAACATTAACTGACCATCAAAATTTTTATTCACTATCTCAATAAAACTAATTTAACCACATCACTGATTCCAACGAGGTTTTCAAAGACCATCGGCTGTTTAATCGAAGACCAGAGCTGAAGTCAGGGAGGAAGAAAACCTGATTAGTAACCTAGAATATAACAGGTTCCCCCTTTTTACGGTGTTACACTTATCATTACATTTTATGAAAGAAAAAACGAATGAGCTAATTTCCTGAAATGTCAAACTCTACATTGAATATGAATATTACTAGAATTATTAGTAGTAGTAGTAGTATTGCTTTAACTAGTTATTTCTCATTAGACACAGTTCATCTAAAATTGACCCAGAACAGATTGAATTTAACGTATGAGCAGGAAAAGTTCAAGTTCTTCAGACTCTGGAGTGTAAAGTAGAAAAGTTTACGTGTTGTTGGTTTTACATTGACATAATTAAACAACTCTTCAAGTTTCTTTCCTCGACAGGTATCAGTGTGTGTGTTAGTGGTTGTAGTAGTTTTGACGGTGAGGTGAGATTTCATCATTGAAGACTTTGTTCTCACAGAAGATTCTCGCAGACTCGTTCCTCGCTGGGAATTTATTTCATGTTTATTCTACCGGGAGAAATCCTGTCGGGATTAAAAATCTTTTTCTGACGTTTTAGTGCCGGAGTTGCTTTAATCTGATACAAGAAATAAAATGTCGGGGGGGGGGGGGGTCGATCTTTCTAGCTCAGACCATGTGACGTTTGTGTTTTAAGTCTGTAATGAAAGTCTTCATATTGATGCAAAGGTCAACGTGTCAAAGGTCAACAAGAAGAGAGAATAAATGCACAGTTTGACATTTATCACCTCGTTAACGACAATCGTCAGACTTCTTGTCACACCTCGTGAATTAATATTCTATAAAATTAAGATCAACATCCAGGGAAACTCTTAACATTTGAATATAAACGGCCTTTTCTGTGGTAAAGAAAACTACAATTCATTCAATTCAGAGGAAACGAACTCGTGGAAACATCATGAGGATTATGATTCACCTGAATCTGACACACTGGACCTTTAAGTTCATGTTTGGAACCAAAAGAACCGAGAACAAATGTTATCGTTGACTGAAAATCACCTTCATGCTTTAATTGTGTTTGTCCTAAATGTTCGTTTCTTCACTGAGACACAGTTGAAAGCTTCTCTGCTGCAGGGACACACGGCTCGGAGGTTTCTTTTAGTTGTTCAGTAAATATTCTGACAGATACAAATACGTGTGTGGTCAGAAGTGTTCTCAGACTCGCTGTTGAGGACAGCAGAGCGACAGAAGTTCATTTCCAGTCCCCCCCGTCCGTCCCCCCCGTCCGTCCCCCCCGTCCCTCCGTCCCCCCCGTGGACAAAACAATCTGATGAAGGAGAGAAGTTCTTTTTGTTTTTCCCGTTGCTTGAGAAACACTGAGGTCCAGAAAACTAAGCTCTTAAATGTGACTTTTAAGCTTCGGTGGTGAATCATCTCGATCATTATTCCCACTCGGCTCCTGTCACTCACACCCCCCTCCCCCCCTCCCCCTAGATTCTTTTATTTCTTTAAATATAATCGCATGAATCATGAAATGATATCTTAAATTGGAATTAAACAAATTGCTTTCACGCTGACGTTAATACTTTCCCTCTTCTCTAACAGCATGTGGAATATTCCGTCTTTGTCAGCCAACATGGGCAGTTACGCAACCGAAGTAATCAGTATCTGTCTAATCCGTGTTAATCCCTCAAACCTAATACCAGCGCCGACTCCTGTTGCTTCTGTTATTTGTGGTTCTCCTTTGCTGCTTTTTTAAAATTCGGCCTGCGGCTTTCATTTCAAATTGAATTCCCTGATCCACCCAGAAAATATACCTGAGAAATATTCCACTTAAGTCCCGGAGGAAAGCGGAGCGAGAGGAGATCAGGGTGGAATATGATTTCTGCTTTTGTCCACTAATTGTCTGCTCTGTTTCTTCTTCAGTGTCTTCGTTGACAGCGTGTAATATTCACTCCGAAGCCTTCTGTATTATCTATGTAAAGTACTCTGGTGTTTTTTGTTACTGCATTTATTTGCACAAATTTGCACTTTGAGTACTTTCATTCAAATACATGATGTTGCACGGAGAACGATGCTGTAACGGGTCTCGGATTTGATTTGCTCTCGTTCTTCCTGTGGTTTGCAGATAATACCGAGGGACAATGAAACACGCTCTACTCTAATGTACAAGTACATCATCCATGAAGACTCGGTGCCTGTTAACACCAACAACGTCATCCAAGAGGAGACATACGAGTGGGCTCTGAAGAGCTGGTCTCCGTGTTCCAAACCTTGTGCCGGAGGTAATACACGAATTAGCATTGGGAGAATAGAAAGGAATAATTCCTCATTACTTCTCCAAGTGTATTCATCTTTATTTTAAACTCGCTGCTTCTATTGTAAGTTTCCTTTTCATAGTCAAACATGTTTTTATCCGCTTCCATTTCCCACCTCTTTTATAAGATTATTACTTATTCGTGTTTTTCAAAAAAAAGTGGTTTATTTAAAACTGTAGATGATCAAGTTAGTCATCAAGCCGCCTGCGACTTCGCTCTGATCTGTTGATTTCCAATATAATCAATAAAAAATA